CGAACATTGAACCTGAACTGAAAAACATACTTAAATTATGGAATAAATGTCCTACATTTACTGAATATCATTTTGTTTACGGTTAGGATAAGATGGAAAGATTTGCATGTGTACTTTTACTTCACCGTATCTTCCGGGAACCGGGGAATTTAGAAATTTTGGCGACACAACACGAAAGATCACACCGTTAAAAATGACATTGGTGTTTAAAACGGACACAAAAAATGTTCTTACATTCGCGCCTTATGGGCTGGCTACAAATTGCTAATAAATTACTTTTAATCAGTTAAAACTTATTGATTTATCTGAATCATTACTTAAGAATTTCTAATGTGTACCACTTACTTTTGTTCATTTACACTTCAAAAAACTTGTAATTAGCACTTGTCAAAGCAGGTTTCTAGAATGTCTTAGCAGTTATTAAGAAATTAGTTAAGATTTATAATTGTACCCGATTGTAACAGATACCCTTTTCGTGTCATTTACAGGTTTTTATTACTTTTTTGATTTATGTGTCTATTATTCAGTAGAACGATACCATAAAGATTATGTTGTGTGGTCTTAGTTCTACGAGTAGAGATATTGTACCCATTCCTTTGGGGTTCTAACATAACTACTTAACAATTTAAGCTCAACATTCGTATGAGACTGATTGTAATATCATACAACAATTTATTTGTTATTAGGCTAGGGCTGATGCTGGATGTGGGATAGACACATTTTTATATCCGTTTCCATGATTTACTAGATTGACGAGTAGATAATAAGTTTCTAATCACCTACTTGAAAACAGACTATGTATCCTCGAAATTCGAGCCTTCCAAAAAAAACAAAATTTAAATCGGTATCCCTTCCAATATATTTCAAGTGACACTAGCACGACATAAATAGGACTAGCGAAATTTTCACTAGTTCTTGCTGGAGGTAAGATATTCTTCATGTGTATATTTGTTTTGAATTTGTATTAAATCCTTTTTACATATGAGCTCCAAATGATTATTGGTATTTGCACTTGCTATTAATAATGTTTTAAAGCAAAGGATTTATAATAGGATAAATAAAGGATATTTAATTGCATTGCATATGGCGAAATGAGTTGCACGATTGTATCTAGAGCACACCGTTATCGTTAGACAGGACAGATGTATATTAAACGGCTTACGAAATACTGACGTCTCACTAAGGCTGCGTACGGAATGAAGAATAGTTTCACTTACAGACTTTCTGTGGTAGAGTTTCAGATATTTTTACGTGCTTTTATCGTAAGAGTATAAAAATCCTAGTGGGAACACGTCACTACAAAATTGTTGCACCATGACTTACACTAAGACTATAAACACAACCGAATCTCACGAAACATATAGGATATCATAATGACTACGTCACTATCGCGGGTGTAAAACTCAAAACTGTAGCACAATAAGACATTTACATAAACATTATTAAATCGGTATTCAGAGTAGACCGCGTAGACCCCTGCGCATCGACTGACTTCGGGCGTCGCGTCGCGGACTATCAACTACCCTCCATTTGGTATTTAAAATTTTTAAACTATAACCTACCTACTTTTATTTGAAATAATTGTACTATTCATTTGCCATTATAATAATAATTGTTTGAAAACGATTTGTCAGAATAGAACTGAGCTGATAATTTAAGCAAGTAATTGTTGTTAAACAAAACAGGGACAAGGTATGAAAAGAAACACATATGTTCACTGTTTATCACTTTTTTATAATTTATTTTCACAACATTTTTATTTAGTTTTCTGTAAAATTTACAATAGCTTTAAACTCTTCACAAATATAAACATTATGTAACCCAACAACAGCGATTCCACGCCTCTTGTTATACGAAACAGGCAACTTGGAAGAGAGAAATCATAATAAATCTAAACATATCTTCGGTATTTCACCTTCTGAGTGTACAAATGCAAACTTTACTGGTTCGCTAAGAGGGTCGGAGTGGTAGCTACCCTCCAGAGAATCGCAAAATCTGTTATCCAAGTTTTAGGCCTCTTGTCTTTTAGGTCCATAAGCTAGGTGTCTGCAACTAAACCTCATACATTCACTCTTTTATCTGTTTTCCCCCCCTTCAGTTTGCGGCGACCCACTTGCATAGAAATGTTGTTAGTAGTGTGAGTAAAGTTCACATTTGTAACGGTCAGAAGCGAATCACCGATCCAAAACTTATAACAAGCTAAATACAACTTAAGGCTTTATGTACTAGCTATTCTAGAGAGTCTTCGACCGCGACATCGCTTGTAACATATGAGCGGCCGCGATCTGACGTCACTTCTATAGTTCGACATTACAGTTTGTTATGAACGACTAGCTTGGAGACAACCTTTCATATGTCAATACATCCCTGGACCCTGTATATGTAGGGTACATCACAGGATCATCATAACCTCATCGTTCTGGGGAAACGTCACGAATCAATTCTTACAGAATCTGGTATTAAAAAAAGTATATATATATGTATTTTTTTTTTACAAAATTTATTTGACCTATACGTCCACTTTAAACCTCAAATTATTTCGGTTGAAATATACAAAATTCATAGCATTCAACAAATTCCATATTAAAAGATTTTTGTCTGTGTTGTGGGTTGGTTTTTTAAGTGCTTCTAAAGTACAATATTTGGGAAACCTTTATTTCAATGCCCCCTTCATAAGCTTGAATAGACCAGTAGTTAAAGGAACGTCAGTATCAACCTTTGAAAATCACGTAACTTGCTACTGTAATGTCGAACTGCCTTCAAAAATGTATTCAAGGGTTTTCGAAGTAACGCTTTCGAATGTGCTTGTGTGCTTTTTAATTCCACCATACTATTTTTAGAAGCATTTTCAGGTTATATAGATTGAGACTTACGGAATTGTTGAAGACATTACTTTTAGCGGATTGCATTGGCAAAAGAAAAATCACACAAGCGGCGTACAATGCATAAGTAATAGTATTAGAATTAAACATTAAAAATAAGGCTAGCTGAAAACTGATGGTAACTATAGAAAAATAAAACCCTAAACTACTTCATGTCTCTCGATTTTATTTGTAAATAGATAAAGACCATTATGGAAGCGACTCGTTATAAAGTACATCGGTAAGGAAAAGTCTTATCAAGCGAAAGCACTCAACTTTCTGTGTCGAATACTTAATAAAAACAATTATATTATAGACATACAATAATGTATAAATTATATCGCAAAAATTTGCGAAATGCACTAAAGGTCTAGTGTATAATATATTTTTATTAAGTATTCAGTAAATACAAAATTTCCCGTATTAAGTCACAACAGGAGGTAGTTTAAGAAAAAGACTATGCCAATAGTAGCTTCAGCTACGTTACAATAATCACAGATGGACAAATCTAATTACTCAAAAATGACAATCGTCTGCCGATATTTTCACGCAATATGTAAAGAATACTGCATTCAACATATTGTACATCGATTGAATAATTAGATTCTCGAATAAAAATGAGAGTAACAAAGGTGCTTTAAAAATATCCGTCGAAAAGATCACAAATCACAACTTAGACGCCTGTGTCGATAGCGTAGGCCGTAGACACATCGGAGCTGATAATCGAATGTTTCAACTGCCCTTAATCAGAGTCGTATATATGCAGATGACACGTCAAGACACCCCTCGCAGCAACTCGGTTCTATTTAAGAGGGCTAGGCGTAATACTAGTGATAATAATCTTAATAAAATGGAATATAGTTTAATTTCTCATTAGCTACATTATGTACTTTAATTACATCACTAAGTACATGAAGAAAATGGTCTATATTTAGAACTAGGTACATATTTCAAAAATTTGTACTGCGTTCCGCGCATACGTTCCCATTTGATTATGTATACAGAAGATAGCGATTTATTTTACACAGCTATGTTTAAACTACTCGTCTATGGTCTATAATCTATGGTACATAACAGCGTACGACATTTAGGAGTGGAAGCGTAGACAGAAACGTAACGACGAGAACGCAGCGACGACGTACGGGCGTCCCGGGTGAAAATATGAACAAACTGTTTAGCCAAATCAACGACACGTTAAGAATGATATTAAAATGAGATCTCAAATTTTGGTTCGATAGTGAGCAAGATAGAAAAATTCGTTCATAAAATCGTTCATTGTTCCGAAGTCCCTTAAAGATAGCAGATTGTACTCGTGTACTCCGGAATAACTAGGAATCCGTACTACATTTGTATACATATAACTTTGCGTTGGCGACTACTTTAGACATGCACATTTTGGCCGGACACTGTTTACACCGTTCGTATAGCTATTAAATACAACAATAATATATCTCTATCGGTTTTAACTAGACAATAGTGTTATGTAAGTATAATATAATCATCGACAACATTAACTCTACAACAATTAAATCACAATTCCGCGTATCGACTACTGTTTATTGAGACGTTTAAAATTAATTAAAAAAACATGTTTCCTAAGTACTCTGTTACATGACTTCTCTACTTGTAAATGTTCTTAAAATATGTATAAATGGTGTTATAATATATCAAGATAACTTTAATATTGTACACATCTCAGTATTTGTTTTTCTGCTTTTTTTTGGTTTATTTTGGTATCCTCCGAGCCGTTTACAATATTAGAGCGACTACGATAGAAGTGTATACATACGTTTTAGATTCATAAATATTTAGTAAAATAGGTCATTTATATCAGGAGGAACGAAGTTTTTTTGACCTTTGCAAGTCATCCGAGATTCCACTCGGTGAATACCTAACTCCGCGTCTAGTTCTGCTTTTACTGTTTAGATAATTTTGATTCGCTTCAAGATCTGTCGGTCGGGGCCGGACTCGGCGATCGACTAAACCATCTCACGACTGCATCTCGACCTCACGAGACGGTTTAGCCACGGGATATGCGGGAGATGAGATGAGCTGTTTTCGAAATTCCGCGGTCTTAACGAGGAGACGTTTACAAGAGATGATCTATACATACAAGCTTAAGAATAACTAACTAGTCTTTCATTTAGGCCGTCGACTCGGGCTCACGTTACGGTCGGGGGTCGCGGCGTGATCGGCAATTTCCGTACTGCTGACATATTGAAGGATCAACACGAAAGGAGTACCGCGCAAATTGCGGACCGAGCTAGAAGTCGGATGGATGAGGGTAGGGGGACGGGGGGGACGCGGCGAGCCCGTCGCAACGAATTGACAACAGTGAGCAACATCGAATTGACGCAGAGCGGGCGCGCGGTCGAGCGAATCTCGCACTATATACACGTAGCGTACGATACATATAATTATATACATTTGGCACTAGATTCATCGTCGGGGCTCGCGTCGGGGTCACGCCGGGCAGAGCTGCGGGCGACAGCACTCGCAGCATGGCGCACAGGCGGCGCAGGCCGCGCACGCGGCGCAAGCGGCGCACACGCACACGTAGTACTGCGGCGCCTGCATTACGGGCATGGCCATGGCGCCCATCGGAGGCAGCAGCATGGGCGTGCGCGCGCACAGCTCCCGGCACGCGAGAGCCTCGATCAGCGCCAGCGTCTGCCGTCGCTCGTGCCCCATCAGGCACACGGTGGACTCCCGTACTACGCCGTGCAACAGTGTCAGGTACCTGCAAGAAATGTTTATAGCTTAGTCTATATAATAAATAAAGCAGCAATTGAGAGGCAAGCGAAACATCAAATTGAACCAATGGAGATTTATTAATCCTATGTTTGTATGGTTTTTCTGTTGAAATATGTCAAAATTAGTGCAAAACAAAATAACACATGGGACTAGTACTCTTTTCTAATTAAGTAACTTAGTATGTCTGTTTTCAGTCCAAAAGTGCAAGTTACCTGTGCTTTAGCGCCTCCTCCTCTCGGCCCACAAAATGATTCCGAAGGTACGCCTCGAGCTTGGCTCGTTGTTGTCCTAACTCGGGGAAGTCTATGAAGAATCTCGAGCACATGTAGCGCTCCAGGATCTTGATTTTGTCGGGTCGTGCCGGCCGGTAGCCTTTCGCGAGCAGAGCGCAGTACTTCAGCAGGCCTCCGCCTCGGATCTCCTCCGGCTGTCTCGTGGCAATCAACTTCTCCGACAGATGGAGGAGCGCTTCGTGAAAATCTCCGTACACGGATTCCCCCACGACCGTCGGGTAAAAGTTCTCTCCGATGGGCAGCTGGGCGCACTCGTGGAACGCAAGCAGAGAGTCCAAAGCGATCTGGAACGAGTCCACGGAGAACTCGAACTGGCGCCGCATCGTATCGACGAACTTGAGCTCGACGGATTTGTGACCGCGCGAGTTGCCCAGCGATATGAGTGACCAGCGGTCCCCGTCCGAGTTGACGCGCACCATCTTCGAGACATACGCCTCCTTGAGGCCGGCGGGGGAGGCCCGGCGGCGCGGGGTGGCGGCCGGCATCAGGGTGGAGAGGTGGCCGAGCACTGCCGTCTTGACGCGGTCGTAGTGGCGTGCGGTCGGCAGGTCCGCCGTGAATATGAGGTCGATGTCCGAGAAGGGCTGAGACTGGTCCGTGAGAACGTGACTGGCCGCGCCGCCGTTGAGGCGCACGTCCCTGACGGCTATGCCAGCGCCCCCCTCGGTCTGCGAGGCTTCGAGGCGCGCTCGCACTCCGGCGACTAGTTCACGCAGTCTGACGTGCAGGGTGGGGAAGTTGCCGCGCCCGTGGATGGGCACCACTTCGTCCATTACGTCATTCAGTCTCCTTACTTGCTCGTAGCTGAGGACGGCGTGACGCTCTCCTCCGCCGCAGCCCTCTTCCGAAGAGGTGTAGCTCGATTCGCTCTGAAACAAAACATACATTCGTTTAATACTCAAGATGCAGACAATAAAATCTGTTGCCATGGCATAAAGGAGTTTTAAATATGACCTAAATAAGAAACGATTACAGCAATAAAGGAAACGATTTATAGTTGAGACATCCTCAGATAGTATTGAGGACGATTATGTCAAACATTTGCATAGTAATTCGACGCCGACGGCTTTAAACGGCCATAAATCTCTTGCTTTTTATCTCCACTGCATCTTGGGACTGAATTCAGAGGCTGTTGAGTTGATATTTAAGACTATTTTACTAACTTCTGATTGATAGATATAATTTGAAAGAAATGTACGGGAAAATATTGTGTTTACCTCTAAAAAGGAAAATATTAATTAAACGTTGAACCTCGTCATGAACAAACATTATTGTGTGTTGTTGGCTGACGTAAATAATTTTAATATGAACAATGCTGTTTTTATGATGAAGAAATAGATTTTTAAAATCGTATAGTTATTAAATGCATTGGGCAATTTCGTTACAATTACTAAAAATGTTTATTCATAATTTAATAGGGAAAAAGGCTAAATAAATAAGTTCTAGGTAAAATAAATAATAAATAGGTATCTTGGATGTCAATTGGTAGAACTCCTGCCGTGAGCAATAAAGTCAAGCAAATTTTGGTATCTTGTAAAATGTAAGTTTCTTAATATAAACGTGATCTATTTAAAGACGGCGTGTGCGGTGTTAGATAGTAACGGTTCGTGCGCTCCACAGACAATGTATATGGATCGGAAACATTACGAAATATGTCAAGGATGATAAAGAAGGCCATGACCGTACTTTCAAAGAAGGCGGAGACAACTATTTATATTTTCCTTCCCTTCGACTCCATTAAGATTCTGTTGTGATAAATACGGATCACCTTCGATGTTACTGTGTTAAGTGATGCGTTTTTCTTGGAAAACACGATCCAAGTCTATAGTATAGCGAGACTATGGTGAAAAGTATAAAGAATAAAACATATTTCTCAAAATTTGTCTTTCTTTATTAGAATAAAATAAACCTCGTGGTTCGCCTTTCAAGAAGTTATAAAATGTTGAAGGAGAGATAAAATTAGATTCCGATCTAATTATCTAAATTAAGATCAAATGTGTCATTACTTAGTCTGAGGCTTTTTATAAGGTAGTGTGTTTTACGACAAGCCTGTACTTTTATGGGCGTTAAACGGTCCATATTTAAGTTTAAGGCGAGTTTTATAAGGCGATATCGCTCTAGTTACATGTAAGTATTAAAAAAGGAACTTTCCATACGATTTATTATAACAAAGAAATTTTTCACATTGCTGTGTCATGAATCGTGCAACCCGTCTGGTATAGGACGGATGCGCATTGCTATATGCAAGAGAAAATTATTCTCCTAACATAAACAATACTTTAGGACTAGCTGCTAATATGATTTAAAAGTCAAAGATCATTAAACATCACACTAGTAACCACTTGTTACGTTCTAACTCACTTTTAAATTGAACAATATTGTAATGTATGCTTCGTATAAATTGACTGTCGTTAATCGACTAACGAAAAACATCAGGCCATTTATTAAAAACCCTTATCTCAAACGTCATTAACATTCACCAATAAGTGAGATAAAAATTAAATGAAATAAACATTTTCATTGACCTTTGAGACTATTTTTATTAGTGCGCCAGCGCCACAGATTAAACAAAATCACGAAATGAGAAACGCTTATTTACGCGTATTGGCCGACATATTTGGTAAGTTCGTAATACCTTAAATACTGTCTATAGTTTACGCGAGTAGTACACATTTAGATAAAACACTTTAACTTTAAATAAGTTTAACTAATATATCGCGTTTTAAACCGTTAAAGTGTTTTATTTAAATTCGTAATACCTTGTTTGTATTCATAAAATAGTGTAAGCATAATTCTTTTGAAAATCTTAATATTTTCACGTTATTGCACATGATGGCCTTAAATGATTTAAAAATCAAATTTAAAGTGAAAAAAAAATGTACTGCCAATAATTATTTCAAAAAATTACCACATGGTAGGTACATTTCGTAATTTTCTTCAACGTAAAGTCGATTTTTAATTTATAATTCATCTTGTTAACTTAGTTATGATAAAAATAAATCTAGAGTAATATTCACTATTTGACTATTCACAATTTGACGCTTTTTATTATTATTGCAAATCGTTTCGTTTTTTACATTGTGCTGAAATATCTAAAGTGCATTTAAAAATGATTGTGCCACTTTTACGAATACACAAACAAGCAATAGATTGGATAGAAGCAAAAGTATGCCTTTTATCTCCAATAAAGCCAATGATGTCGTTTTATAAATCGTTACTGCAACAATATACTCTGTGGCCACAGATCACAAAGGTCACGTAGCACACGTCTGGTCGAATTAGAACTCGTTTTAATTTCGTTTCAGAATAGCTATGCGTGTACAATGCAACCACACTTACCTAATTGTTTCCTACATTACTCTAATGTAATTGAGGAAGCGAATAATCGAATACGTAGTACAATGGTAAACATAAATTAAATCGATTTATAATCGTTAAAACAAGTAAAAAAAATTGAATAAACAACACAGAACGGAACAGAAAATTCACGATGAGAAGCAATAATCAAAAATAAAATATAAAAGACTGCTTTTTACCGCGGTTTTATCCGCACGTCGTTTTGATTAAAATCAGTTTGATGATTCTGACTGATGTTCCTTTGTTTAGAACTACTTAAACTTAACAATTTTGTCTGTAGTACGTTAGTTAGGTACGTAGTTACGCGAGTAGAACACATTTAGACAAAACACTTTTAACGGTTTAAGACGTGAAATATATTAGTTAACTTGCTATTAAAGCTTTGCATTTAAATTAAATTAAAAATAAGTAATATATTTTGCGTTTAAAAGCGTTAAAAGTTTTACACTAAAATTTAACAATTCTAAAATAAAACTTTTTAAATAAGGAACCGTTTTTATGCAAAGTAGCATTTCCATAAAAGCTATAGATCAAAATTAAGCCCATCTAATTCCAATATAAAATTACGCATTTGTAATAGATATTGAAAATTCATTTGAAATGTGATTTATTGCGAAACACAAATGCCTACGTGAGATTTAGCGCGATTCGCAATAAGAAAATTGCGTATCAAAATAATATATTGTGCAAATAATTTGTAATTCAAAGATAGCTACGCATATTGCAAATAATTTAAACGCTATCTATATGAGAATAACTTTAGATTATGTAATAATTGGACTGAGGCCTGCGTGGAGACCATACACGATAGATTATTTGTATATGTTGAGTTTTATTTGAATTGACAAGAGATTAGAACTAGTACAGTTTCTAAGACAATTAACATACACAGACAACTAACGGATTTTACTTGGAAAATGTTAATATATATCAGTAATTAAACTACGGGACTTGAGAAAGTCTTAATTACAAATTACGACAGTCTCCTATAATATATGGTAAGGTAAGATGTTTACGTAAAAGCCATGTGTGAAAACACTGAATTAATTAATCAGTGGCGCTACGTGTTGATATTTGCAAATCTAATTAAGTTATATTCTTGAAGTTTCGGTCAAACTCTTTCTCGACTTTTTAACATAACGATTTATTAGGCATTAACTACAGCATACAATTTCAAAAACAAGTTATACATACCTATAATATTAATGACTGTCTAAAAATGTTAACCTTAAATTTATATATATCTAAGTTTAATATTGCGTACTAATGCGTTGATATCATTGTTTTTCCTTCAAGATATATTTATTTCATTTGTGACCTACATGTGAAGCTTTTATATAGTTTTAATCGAAATAAGTCTCGATGCTACTGCCAGCGCGACACGAAGACCGAACGTCTCCGCTGTCATTGACACCGTAGCGTTGCAGCGATCGTGAACTTCGCGTGTGAAGCATACCGTGCGAAGGGGCAGAGCGCTCGTTACGGTGTGATTTATTTCCAAACAATGTATTGAATGCGCAGTTTGATGACCTCAAATGCCTCGGTGCGTTACTGCTGAGGAAAGGGAGCCGCGGCCTTGCCTTAACCAGCCAAATCCGTAAGTGCGCGGGATTCGTTTAATTAGTCTGCTCGTAGTGTAACATTTCGATCGTACATAATGTTGAATCATAATACAATAAGCAACCGTTAATTGGTTGCGAAATGTAATGTATATGAGGCCGCTAGAGGCAGAGTAGGCAATTTTAGGATTTGAGTTACTATGTATATTTTGCACAGTGTCCGAAAATTTTCAACATAATTTTTACACAAATAATTGTACAAATTTATTAATTAATAGGTAGGTAGGTAATTGCGCATTTTTATTTTTCTTTTGTTACTAGGCCACTCTGCCTCTTGTGCATATGAGGGTCATATGCACTAGTATATGTCAATTAATCTTTATATTTATATCGAATACCAGCTCACCTGGCAAAGGTTCTTTTGCCATATGAAGTATTTCGACAAAAATCTGATTACGACAAAAACGGCTCTTGTGAGTAAATCTTCAAAGATATATCACGGACATTTATTTTTATTATTTAGCCGCAGCCTGATGTTTTATAGTCTAAAGCCTTCCTCGACCAAATTCTCTTACCAACACAAAAATAATTTATCAATTCGAACCGTTAGTTCTGTGATACGTACCAACAAACCTTTCAGCTTTATAATATTAGTATAAATATACACGAGTTTAAGATACCGAAATTGTATTTATGCCTGGTAATTTTGCTAAGATAATTTTGTCTTTATTCTTAATAAGCAAAACATCGCCAAAAGCAGGGTTATTAGAAAGAAATTGTTAAACCTAGTAAATATGAGGCATCTTTTTTCTGAATATTACATTACGCCCCAATACAGTAGGACAAACAATCAGTTTTTCACACACCTTCATGAGAGATCATCGGTGGGAACAGCTAGAGGCTGGACAATTGGTTACGGCTGGTGGACGGCAGTTCGTTCACCATATTGTGTA